GGTACTTCCTGTTTGAGTTTTTGCTTGTAAGCAATAAGGCTTTCGAAAAAACATATGACCCTTATCCCATCAGCGAGAATCCTTCAAATAAAAAATATACACTTACTGTAGCAGTTTTGCACGATCCATACAGCTATAAATGGGAAAATGATGCGCACGTTTCAATGGAGCAGAAGTCTGTGTGTTGTGATTCTGGATGGCCAGATAGCTAGCAACAATTACAAGAAACTGCAATGTGGGGAATCGTAAGTAGCTTGTTTTGGAGAGAGAAGTGCATTTTGCATCTGGGCGCATGGTCAATCCGTTGGCCATGCAGCATTTAGTGTGATACGGCCTCAGTAGAAGTCAGGGCATTCATACTTCTTGCATTTAGCTGAGCAGTGCAGAGCTGTTGTGAAGGAAGTTGTCAAGGAAGTGGGTTTGTGTTTATGCAGGATGTACCGCCCCCACCTACCGTCAACCAATCATGTCAATGTAGAGCTGATACAGAGCCCTCCGCATTGTTACTACATTTGGGAGGTGCACAGTGATGCGGTACGGAGCTTGATTTGGCCTCTGCATGCCTCTGGAGCCTCCGCAATTGCGCCACACCCTTCCATATGGAGCCTCCAACCACATATTCGGATCAGGCATAAATTGGCTTTTAGTCCTCCACAATGGATTAGTTCACTATATATATATATATATATACACTACCAGTCAAAAGTTTGGACAGACCTACTCATTCAAGGGTTTTTCTTTATTTTTGTAGAATAATAGTGAAGACATCAAAACTATGAAATAACACATGGAATCATGTAGTAACCAAATAAGTGTTAAACAAATCAAAATATATTTGAGATTCTTCAAATAGCCACCCTTTGCCTTGATGACTGCTTTGGACACTCTTGGCATTTTCTCAACCAGCTTCACCTGGAATGCTTTTCCAACAGTCTTGAAGGGGTTCCCACATATGCTGAGCACTAGTTGGCTGCTTTTCCTTCACTCTGCGGTCCGACTCATCCCAAACCATCTCAATTGGGTTGAGGTCGGGGAATTGTGGAGGCCAGGTCATCTGATGCAGCACTCCATCACTCTTCTTCTTGGTAAAATAGCCCTTACACAGCCTGGAGGTGTGTTGGGTCATTGTCCTGTTGAAAAACAAATGATAGTCCCACTAAGCCCAAACCAGATGGGATGGCGTATCGCTGCAGAATGCTGTGATAGCCATGCTGATTAAGTGTGCCTTGAATTCTAAACAAATCACAGACAGTGTCACCAGCAAAGCACCCCCACACCATAACACCTCCTCCTCCATGCTTTATGGTGGGAAATACACATGCGGAGACCATCCGTTCACCCACACCACGTCTCACAAAGACACGCGGTTGGAACCAAAAATCTCAAATTTGGACTCCAGACCAAAGGACACATTTCCACCGGTCTAATGTCCATTGCTCGTGTTTCTTGGCCCAAGCTGGTCTCTTCTTCTTATTGGTGTCCTTTAGTAGTGGTTTCTTTGCAGCAATTCGACCATGAAGGCCTGATTCACACAGTCTCCTCTGAACAGTTGATGTTGATGTCTGTTACTTGAACTCTGTGAAGCATTTATTTGGGCTGCAATTTCTGAGGCTGGTAATTCTAATGAACTTATCCTCTGCAGCAGAGGTAACTCTGGGTCTTCCATTCCTGTGGCGGTCCTCATGAGAGCCAGTTTCATCATAGCGCTTGATGGTTTTTGCAACTGCACTTTAAGAAACTTTCAAAGTTCTTGAAATGTTCCGTATTGACTGACCTTCATGTCTTAAAGTAAAGATGGACTGTCATTTCTCTTTGCTTATTTGAGCTGTTCTTGCCATAATATGGACTTGGTATTTTACCAAATAGGGCTATCTTCTGTATATCCCCCCTACCTTGTCACAACACAACTGATTGGCTCGAACACATTAAGAAGGAAAGAAATTCCACAAATTAACTTGTAAGAAGGCACACCTGTTAATTGAAATGCATTCCAGGTGACTACCTCATGAAGCTGGTTGAGAGAATGCCAAGAGTGCAAAGCTGTCATCAAGGCAAAGGGTGGCTATTTGAAGAATCTCAAATGTAAAATATTTTGATTTGTTTAACACTTTTTTTGGTTACTACATGATTCCTTATGTGTTATTTCATAGTTTTGATGTCTTCACTATTATTCTACAACGTAAAAATAAAGAAAAATCCTTGAATGAGTAGTTGTGTCCAAACTTTTGACTGGTAGTGTATGTTACTGCTTGACTAAAAAAGTATTGGTCGACCAACAGCCTATCGACCAAACAATCAACCAGTCGACTAATTGTTGTCAGCCCTACATTAGCTAAAATCTACACTGAACAAAAATATAAATGCAACATGTAAAGTGTTGGTCCCATGTTTCATGAGCTGAAATAAAAGATCCCAGAAATTTTCCATTTGCACAAGAAGCTTATTTCTCTCAAATGTTGTGCACAAACCTGTTAGTAAGCATTTTAGCCTTTGTCAAGATAATCCATCCACCTGACAGGTGTGGCATATCAGTCTCCGGAAGGTGGTGAGTGACTCCGCTGTCCTGGCGTCGTGAGGGAGCTTGTTCCACCATTGGGGTGCCAGAGCAGCGAACAGTTTTGACTGGGCTGAGCGGGAGCTATGCTTCCGCAGAGGAAGGGGAGCCAGCAGGCCAGAGGTGGATGAACGCAATGCCCTCGTTTGGGTGTAGGGACTGATCAGAGCCTGAAGGTACAGAGGTGCCGTTCCCCTCACTGCTCCATAGGCAAGCACCATGGTCTTGTAGCGGATGCGAGCTTCAACTGGAAGCCAGTGGAGTGTGCGGAGGAGGGGGGGTGACGTGAGAGAACTTGGGAAGGTTGAACACCAGACGGGCTGCGGCATTCTGGATGAGTTGTAGGGGTTTAATGGCACAGGCAGGGAGGCCAGCCAACAGCGAGTTGCAGTAGTCCAGACGGGAGATGACAAGTGCCTGGATTAGGACCTGTGCCGCTTCCTGTGTAAGGCAGGGTCGTACTCTCCGAATGTTGTAGAGCATGAACCTGCAGGAGCGGGTCACCGCCTTGTTGGCGGAGAACGACAGGGTGTTGTCCAGGGTCACGCCTAGGCTCTTCGCACTCTGGGAGGAGGACAGCGGAGTTGTCAACCGTGATGGCGAGATCATGGAACGGGCAGTCCTTCCCCGGGAGGAAGAGCAGCTCCGTCTTGCCAGGGTTCAGCTTGAGGTGGTGATCCGTCATCCATACTGATATGTCTGCCAGACATGCAGAGATGCGATTCGCCACCTGGTTATCAGAAGGGGGAAAGGAGAAGATTAGTTGTGTATCGTCAGCGTAGCAATGATAGGAAAGGCCATGTGAGGATATGACAGAGCCAAGTGACTTGGTGTATAGGGAGAAAAGGAGAGGGCCTAGAACTGAGCCCTGGGGGACACCAGTGGTGAGAGCACGTGGTGCGGAGACAGCTTCTCGCCACGCCACTTGGTAGGAGCGACCGGTCAGGTAGGACGCAATCCAGGAGTGAGCCGCGCCGGAGATGCCCAGCTCGGAGAGGGTGGAGAGGAGGATCTGATGGTTCACAGTATCAAAAGCAGCAGACAGGTCTAGAAGGACAAGAGCAGAGGAGAGAGAGTTAGCTTTAGCAGTGCGGAGAGTCTCCGTGACACAGAGAAGAGCAGTCTCAGTTGAATGACCAGTCCTGAAACCTGATTGGTTTGGATCAAGAAGGTCATTCTGAGAGAGATAGCAAGAGAGTTGGCTAAAGACGGCACGCTCAATAGTTTTGGAAAGAAAAGAAAGAAGGGATACTGGTCTGTAGTTGTTGACATCAGTGGGGTCGAGTGTTGGTTTTTTGAGAAGGGGAGCAACTCTCGCTCTCTTGAAGACGGATGGGACATGGCCAGCGGTCAGGGATGAGTTGATCAGCGAGGTGAGGTAGGGGAGAAGGTCACCGGAGATGGTCTGGAGAAGGGAGGAGGGGATGGGGTCAAGCGGGCAGGTTGTTGGGCGGCCTGCAGTCACAAGTCGCAGGATTTTATAAGAAGCTGATTAAACTACATGATCATTACACAGGTGCACCTTGTGCTGGGGACAAAAGGCCACTATAAAATGTGCAGTTTTGTCACACAACACAATGCCACAGATGTCTCAAGTTTTGAGGGAGCGTGCAAATGAAATGATGACTGCAGGATTGTCCACCAGAGCTGTTGCCAGAGAATTCACTTTTCATTTCTCCACCATAAGCCTTCTCCAATGTCGTATTAGAGAATTTGGCAGTACGCCCAACCAGCCTCACAACCGCAGACCACGTGTAACCACGCCAGCCCATGACCTCCACATCCGTCTTCTTCACCTGCGGAATCGTCTAAGGGGAGGGGAGGCTGGGTGCTGAGGAGTATTTGTCTGTAATAAAGACCTTTTGTGGGGGGGAAAACTCATTCTGATTGGCTGGGCCTGGCTCCCCATTGGGTTGGGCCTATGCCCTCCCAGCACCCATGGCTGCCCCTGCCTAGTCATGTGAAATCCATAGATTAGGGCGTAATGAATTTATTTCAATTGACTGATTTCCTCATATGATCTGTAACTCAGCAAAATCGTTGAAATTGTTGCGTTTTATATTTTTGTTCAGATTTCGAGAAATTATTCCTTAGTTGTTAATTTTAACTTCTCTCATTGACTTTTCAAACCCAGGCCTGGTCTGCTTGGTCTGTTTCGTAAGCATTCACGGACGTCTTGCGATGTTGCGCCTCTGGGTTTAGAAACTCTGTGATGTATTGTTACCTAGCTAGCTAACAATACTAACTGCAGCTTGTTTGCTAGCTAAGCTACACCTGATTGACAGCCAGATAAAGCTAACATTAATGCAACATGATAACTTATCCACCATGATGTTGCTATGAATTGACTTGATGTGCATATGGGTAGCCAGGTGTAGCTTAACACTGTATTTTTGTCCATCTGTGTCTGTCATCTAAAACTTGGCACTTCTTACCATCCACAAAGTTGTTTCATCCCAGTGTTCCCATCTTTTTCTCTTACAGGTTGGCCACTAAGTTGACCATTGCAGGAGGTGCTTTGTATGTTGCCTATGATTCTGGACTATTAGGGGGAAGTGAGCAGGGCTCCGAGGTCCTAGGAAAAGCTAAAACTGCCATTCCCCCTGCAGTGGATGAGTGGGTGAAGTACTTTGGCTTTGAGGTAAAAATGCCATTATTGTACTGATTTTAACTGGTTCTGACCAACAGAACAATGCACTATAGAGTATGAGGTGAGTGAGAATATGTGAGGGAGGTCAAATGTACATTGTTTCTTTTAGCTTCCAGCTTTCCCTGAAATCGGATTCGCCCCTGGTGAAGTGTGGAACTCGGGTAAGAATTGGTTGACAGCTGATTCATAAAGGACTTCCAAGTCAAAAATTTAGCAATTGAAAGAGCTTCTGTCTTATTGCATTCCAGGGGTGCAGTCATCCATATCTGCTCTCTCATCGGGCCCTACAGCAGTGGGTGACTACACCAACCAAGGCTTGCAGTACTTGAAAGACCTCACCAAATGAAAAGTGACATCATGCAACCCTCTGCAATCACAACCAAATCCGCTGGTGTAATGTGACTGGTGCAAATACATACCTCCTGTAAAAGTCACTTGCTTGCTTTAAATGCATAGCACATCAACTACAAAAAATGCAGTGGTACAGTACATTTTGTGGAATTAGGTTTAGGCCAATTATTAATTTGTTTAGTTGCTGATAATGCCAGAACTCAATATTTGCATTCTATTGTGTTGACAGCAATTTGTCAACACAAGCAGATAACATTCTTCTTTACGCTACGTTTTGAGTAAAAAAATGACCGAACTTGGGTACCGCAGAAAGACTTGCACCCAAGAGATAAATCTGATTAAATCCTGATGGGCATATTTAGTGCTGTCGTGTCTTGTGTGTGTATACATTGTTAATTTTACGATTTTTATTTATCTCAAGACTGATTTAATATATTTTGACCCGATTCCCAATCTATCCCATCATGATCCAACACATCTTTTATACAGAAAGAATGTTGTGTGTATATATATATTTAACCATTTACGAGTGTAAAATAAACCTAAACATGTCAGATGTGAGACGTTTGGTGTGATATGTTGTCTGTTGAATTGAATATGTTTAGGTCCGGGTTCTCCAACCCTGTTCCTGGAGCGCTATCCTCCAGTAGGTTTTTGCTCCAACCCCAATTGTAACTAACCTGATGCAGCTGATCAACCAGCTAATTATTAGAATCAGGTGCGCTAGATTAGGGTTGGTGTTAAAACCTACAGGACAGTAGCTCTCCAGGAACAGGGTTGGAGAGTCCTGGTTTAGGTATACTTTGACAGCGTTTCCCAACTCAGGTCCTCAAGTACTGCCAACAGCACACATTTGTTGTAGCCCCGGATAAAAACACCTGATTCAAATTGTCAAGGGCTTGATGATTATTTGATAAGTAGAATCAGGTGTGCTTGTCTGGGGCCACAACTAAAATATGTATTTTGGGGGGTACTTGGGTGTAAGGTCGGGTTCGTATTACATGCTACAATTTATACTGCAAGTACTAGAACTTTTAACGGTGTGTTCGTAAAAATTCAGTCAAATTAAATGAAAGAACTGTAAATCATACTGTTCCTCCTACACTGAATGGGTGAAAAATGGCAGAGGAAAGGGATATGCTAACAAATAAAACGTTCTTACTCATGATGAAATAATTACACAAATGGGTTGGTGATTGCTACAATTCCAGACCTGGGAGGAATGAAAGATGGAGGATAACAGAAGAGTGCACAATCTTTTGGAGTTTCATTTTACTGTACATAGAAACGCCACAGCACAACTGGTGGTGATACAAGTAGCAAAGAAGCACTGACAATTAGTTTTTTACAGTCACATTTTGTAGATAAACATTTTAGTAAAATTGGGCTGCAAAGACTCCCACAAGATTTTCTGCAAGAGATGTTCTTCCTCTGCAACTGTCAAAATAACCAATATGCTTGAATGCACTCAAGGCTGCATTCAAGTGATGCATGCAAATCTGACAATCGATAGAATGAACCTTATGTACACCATGGACCAACGCACTTTGTAAATTAATGCACTGTATGCCCTGGATTGGTGAGACTAAATCTAAATAATTCTAACCAAAACATTGGCGTTTTGGACTTCCTGGGATTACATTATGTACTGTAGCTCCCAAGTCTTTAAAATAAGATTAAAAAGTGAAGCCACAAGAGGCCAGCCAGGCTGGAGGCTTTTTGAATGCAGTCTTTGCTGCATTTTAGGTGAGATTTCTAGATGGGCTTTAAAGCTGGTATTTCAATTGGATATTTACAATATAACAGGAGTAACCACAACAGCATACATTTACAATACACTACACAAAAGTTAGATTAAATATTGTATGCGTATTAACGTTTATTTTCTCCATGCGTTTTTATCATTATGATTTACCGATGCTGCAATATGCCACTTGTTCTTGCACAAGAAAAGTATCTTGACAGAAAAAGACAATGTGGCAAATCTTTAGCATATGTATGTGTGTAATTTAAAGTGCACCCTACAATATCAACATATGAATGAGACTAATCAACTGTCATGGATGTTATATTGGAGAAAATGGTCTTATACTGCATTAACTTCCAAACATTGCACATATCCTCTTATACAAACCAACAATAGCAAAAACCTGGTACGCAGCATTTGACACTTTTTTCTTTAAAGCATTTTTTTACTTTTACTAATACTGACCAAATGGTGGCCTTGACAGTAAATGGAATAAAATTGTGAGCGGTTAGCAAATATATACAGTATGGCAACATGATCAGCCTGAAGGCACTTTATGATGTTTGTTTTCTATTCAAGATCAGAATTTAGTGTAAAGCACTGCCTCTATTCCACTCAAGCTAATCATACAGTCTGATGATGTTGGGATTCTGAACATGGTCAGGTATTGTTAAGGCTTAGGCCTTTTCCCGATCTCTACAATCTCATCAGGTTGTGTGGTCCGGAAAAACATGCCCTAACTTTATGAAGACCTGTATTCCTTGTTTCTAACAAGTCCTGATTCAGCATTATGAATAAATGTTTAGATGTTCAAACTAGTGATTAAACCATCAGTTCTCCTAGGCCAGTGCAACCGAGTGCTATGAATCCAATGATAGCACTGTGGGTTCATCAAGGAATGATTGTCTATGAACTGACTGACACATAAATCAAACATAATGCCTATTAATAAAGACAGTCATTTTTTTTTTTTTTTTTTACTTATACTTTCAGGGGCATCACAGCTTATTGCATTTCTCCTTCAAAGGCTTCACTGAACACTACAGCTCAAACTAGTCTCTACAAATATTCACCTATACATCATGCTTGCTGTTTGGTCATTCAAGGATCACATATGAATGGCTATTGGGGGCAGCTTTTACTATTAGTTTTATAATATATAATTCAGTTCAGCTTTGAATAAAGATAATTGAGCATTGGGATGTGGGAGACAATTCAAACGCGGTCGTTATTGCACTTTACTGTAAGTCTGTCATTGTAGGGCAAGGTGCACTCCTGGACTGTCCAAGATGTGAATCTACCGTGCAGCACAACAACCAAATGGGGTAACTGAAGAAGGGAGGAGGTTTAAAAAGGTCCTTCCAAGTGTACATGTTCCCACTCTCCTCCTAGTGGCCTACAATAGCATTGCTACAGTTCTGCTGTGCATACCATAGAACTAGTTTTAATGTGGACTAAAAGATTGCACTTCCTGAATAATAAAGCATAACTGTTATACCCTCCAGGGCCGTAAGAGATGGAGAGATAGAGTGAGGAGGATAAGTGAAAAGTAAGCGATGGAGTGAGCAAACAAGTGTCCTAGGTGGTCTTCACCAGGTCGTAAACATGGATGTGAAAGTCATCGTCGTATTTGATGTAGTATACGGAAGGCTTGGCAGGGACTTGGTAGATCACCAGGCCTGTTCGCTTCACACCTTTGTCAGTAACATACTCCACCTGCTTCCCCACAAGGCTCTCAGTCTCCTCGCCTGGCTTTCGGTCGGCCGGAAGCAAGTGCTTATTTTCTAGAGAGAAAAACAATGAATAGTCAATGCTAGGGTCTTTTCTTCAAATCTGCTTTGGGCCATTAGCAAAATATGCTATTTTAACCAACATGCTTATGCTTGTATGTATTCAAATATATAAATAAGTCACATAGGACAAGTAAGAACAAACACAGGAAATATTGTCCATAGCACTCCTAAAGCCACCATCATCTTATAATTAGTGTATAAAGAACAAACAATTTCTACTCTATAATCACCCTCCTGTTTTCTTTAGGGAGAAGTATCTGAACACTCTTCTGCAGGTGGAGATGATGCTGAAGCTGAGAAATGGTCAGTACCTGCTTCAGGTAAGATCCTGAGATCTCCATCGGCGTAGTCGTCCCACAGCTGGTACATGTAGAGCACGGGGTCCTTCTCATAGGTGATGTAATACCAGTTAGTCATGATGGGAGCCCTGGAGAGGACCATGCCTCGCCACTCATTCTTCTCTCCATCCTCCTTCTCAAAAAGGTGTTCCACCGCTTTGCCTACCAACTCCTCCGCCCCGTGAGGAACCTTGATCTTGTTGTTGACTGTGGAAGCAGATAAAGGTCATCAAGACAGAGACTAACATCACATAGCCACTGTGTCCCTGCTGTCTGATCATGCAGTATCAGATATACAATAAAAACATGTTATAACTTGTGCAAACCAAATTACAACGTTTTTGCATTACTCTGAGAAGAGGATGTGACGCCAGAACTAAAAAAGGAACCCATCACATCACTCACCAACTTTCTCTGTGAGGACCTGTAGATTAGACACCCTTTCGTCCTTGAATAGCTCGATGCCGTAGACGCAGTCAAACCCATCATACTTGACCATAAATAGTGCGGGGTTGACACTGAGACGGTCGAGGACGGTGCCTTTCCATTTGCTCTGGTTGCCCTTCTCCCTCCAGTTGTGCTGTATTCTTACTCCCAGGAGACTGTTGGGGTCAGGGGTCATCACTGTGGAGTCACTCAGCTCCCCGCTACTACGCTTTCTGTGGCATAGTTAAGCAAATCATATTTGTTTGTAAGTGTAGCCTACCTATGTGCAGCTTACTCTGACAGTCTGGAAAGAGGAAAATCTCCAAGTGTTCATGTTATGATAACAATTACAGAAAACTACATGTCTACACATACCTGCCCCTTTTCTTGGACATCCCTCCAAAAATTCAAATACTGCTGAGGGAACAAACAGACAGAAATGCTCAGAGATTCTGTGATAGAAACAGCCATTTTCAGAAAAATAATACTAGTCTGGAAAGAGACTGAGCTGTAAAGTAGTGGTTGAGACAGACAACCAGAGCAGCCAATGGCTTAGCATGTCTAAATAACTTCCTGGTCATTTCCTTGTATGCATTGCATCCATGGAGGTCACTGCAATCAATGCAGAAGGAACAAAACTGCCGCAGTTATACATCTTTACCCAAAATGTCATAATCTATAGTAATTAATTATGTCACTATTTGAACCAACACAATCATTTTTCAGTAACAACAAACTCATAGACTGAAAGTTGGCTATGAGAGATCAAGAGATGTGCTATTCAACTTCAAGAAAATACGTCAGCCACCACTGTATCAGACAAACATGCAGAAATTACTGTAGTCAATTTGAATTCGTCGCAACGATTGTATAAAACATGAATCGTCAAGTTCTACCATATCGCATTCACTGCTGATGAGACATGGACAATACGCGCCACAAGCACTGTTTGATCGTAATAGGTTATCAATAATTATTGTCTTTATGTCAACTCTACAATGATGTTCGGCGCACAAGCAAATGTAAATCTGGGTCCATGTCCCCGATAAATAATATATACACCGGTGGCCTATATTCTCTCCCAAAAATATAAGATTACCTGTACACGAATTTCATGCCAAAAATTTTCAATTCTTCCTGCAGTAAATGCACACTGCCGCCCATGCAAACCTCGCGAAACCTATGGAAAATGGGAGGATACTTCCATGGGAGAAAAAACTACAGCGCCCATAGAACCTTGAGGAGTGATGACCGTAGAGAGGGAGGTGAACGTGAGAGCAATGAACAATGGGAATTGCTGTCATTGTGGTGACCTCAGGTTTCGTTTCAGTGAACAGTCCGCCGATATTGAGCAAAGGTAAGCTCGTGTTGGTTTAACAAAACATTTATGGTTTAACAAATGGTAGGCTACTTGGGTGAAACCTCTGGGTGAAACAGTTGCACATAATTTCATCATATATAATTATTATTACATTTACATTCACGTCATTTAGCAGACGCTCTTATCCAGAGCGACTTACAAATTGGTGCATTCACCTTATGATAGCCAGTGGGACAACCACTTTACAAATAAATAAATAAAAATATTTTCCTATTTTTAATGTTTAATTTTTAGAGTATATTTTTCATTTTCATTTGTTTTATATATATATATATATATATATTGTATTTTTCTTTTATATATATTTTTTTGTGGGGGTGGGGTAGGGGGGTGGTAGAAGGATTACTTTTATACTATCCCAGGTATTCCTTAAAAAGGTAGGGTTTCAAGTGTCTCCGTGAGGGACAGGTGACACCTGAAAGTTGTAGGGGTATGTTGCAGGTAGACCTATGCTGTAGGATGCTGTATAAAGAAATCAATCAAAGAAAGGTTCAGGTCCTTGAATGCTTATACTGTGGTGTGTAGGCTACTGAACTTCCAGTGAAGTGGATGGCCAATGAGAGCATCTTTGACTGTGTACAAGGTGCAGAGTGAGTGACATCTGGTCCTATGGCATACTGCTGTGGGGAAATCTCTCTGGGTGGGTTACACTATCAAAAGATGGCAAAATACTGTATTTTGTTGGATGAAGCAACATATGTGAGTGAGAAAAGAAACATTTTGAAATGCATGTTTTGATGTTGTCTTTTCTAGATAAGAGCCCATACCCTAATGTTGTGGTGGACACCAGATTCTACAAGATTATCAAAGATGGATGCCACATGTCTCAGGCAGCCAGACTTTGCCCCTCCAGAGATGTGAGTACATTATGCTTTGAGAGAGGCAATGAAGAATTAATCAATCACAGCAATCAATGACATAATCTGACAACCTGCAGTATCCGGCACTGAGTCTTCTCCTCAGGTACACTATAATGGAGATGTGCTGGAACCTGTAGCCAATAGTGCGTCCAACCTTCAGTAACATTGGTCAGCTTATCTAGAGGCTACTGCTTGACCAGCCAGACCAGCTGAGTGACCAAGGACCTAAATGAAGTAGAGAGTCTGCGTATCCTATTGTCACATTGTTTTGTTTTTACCTTACATCAAAACTGTTAACAAATTAACAAAATCAGTGGAGGTTGTTTTCAGTCTTTGAACACCAAGGCAAGAAATGATAAGTGTATCGACCAACGTTTTTTACTAAAACATTTAGGGAACTCAAGTACTCCAAAGTGAGACACACAAGCCGAAATTAGTGACGTTTAATAAGAATAGCAACAAGGGAACACGCAATCAGAGAAAAGTGTTATCTTTAGCACTTCAACAAAAGCTTTGGGCAACCCTGCTCTTAATTAAGTCATAATCAGTCATATAGTGAGATTCTGTGTAAGCACACACTGGCAGCTTACATTCCCAAAACCTTAAGGGTTTCTAGCTAACTCCCTCTGAATCCATCGGCGGTACGAAGTCACTCGTGTGTACACATCAGGGGTACTAGGGTTGGCACACCTCTGCCCTGAGAAAGAGACAATGCCCGCTGACATCCCTTTACACACCAACGGACCTCCTGAATCCCCCTGCAATAGCAAACAATGCATTTCAATTCATTCTCCTTTGTCATACAGAAAAACGGATGAGTCATCTATCATAGTTAGTGCCTTGACCAAGAGAAACTATATTCTAGTTATAGCCAATAATAGCCTGTCCTGACCAGGAAAAACTAATTGCAGAGAGTTATAGCCTATAACAGTGCAGTCATACCGAGCAGAAGCCTTGGAAAGCGCTGGGGCCTGTTGCGCACACCACGCGGCTGGAGATGTTGATGCCACTCCACTTGCGGGCACACTCTCTGGGTGGGATGATGGTGGCATTGACCTCCTGCAGCTTGTCTGGTGAGTTGTCGTTATCATCTATGTCCCCCCAGCCAGCCGTGGTGCACATGCTTCCCTCAGCCATCGAACCATTCATCAGAGGGATCAGCTGCACTGCTCTGTTCAGGGTGGCCCTCCCTCTCAACTAAGAAATATCACAGAGATAGCACACTGTATACATAATCTGTATGTATTCAGATATATGTTGTAAATATTCACTCAGTGGCGAGTTTATTAGGTACACCACCCCGTTCACGAAAATGGATCGCTCATACAGACAGTGAGTCACGTGGCCGTGGCTTGCTATATAAAGCAGGCAGACGGGCATCTAGGAATTCAGTTACTGTTCAATTTAATGTTAGAATGGGCAAAACAAGTGACCTAAGCGACTTTGAGCGTGGTATGATTGTAGGTGCCAGGCACGCCAGATCCAGTGTCTCAGAAACGCCCGCCCTCCAGGGCTTTTCACACACGACAGTGTCTAGGGTTTACCGAGAATGGTGTGACAAACAAAAAACATCCAGTCAGCAGCAGTCCTGTGGGCGAAAACAGCTCGTTGATGAGAGAGGTTGAAGGAGAATGGCAATAATCGTGCAAGCTAACAAACAGACAAATAACGGCACAGTACAACAGTGGTGTGCAGAACGGCATCTCAGAACGCACAACTCGTAGATCCTTGTCACGGCTATTGCAGCAGACGACCACACCGGATTCCACTCCTATCAGATAAAAACTAGTTGGCATGCGATCACCAACACTGGACGATTGAGGAGTGGAAAAACATTGCCTGGTCCGACGAGTCCTGGTTCCTGTTGCGTCATGCTGATTGCAGAGTCAGGATTTGGCGTAAGCAGCATGAGTCCATGGACCCATCCTGCCTGGTGTCCACAATTGGCCCAGCGGCGCACAATTGGCCCAGCGTCGTCCAGGGTAGGGGAGGGAATGGCCGGCAGGGAGGTAGCTCAGTTGGTAGAGCATGGCGTTTGCAACGCCAGGGTTGTGGGTTCGATTCCCACGGGGGGCCAGTATGAAAAATAAAAAAAAAGAATAATGTATGCACTAACTGTAAGTCGCTCTGGATAAGAGCGTCTGCTAAATAATGTAAATGTAAATGGTGTCAACAGTACAGGCTCGTGGCGGTGGTGTACTGGTGTGGGGAATGTTTTCCTGGCACACGTTAGATCCCTTGATACCAATTGAGCAACGATTGAATGCCATGCCCCGAATAATTCAGGCTGTTATGGAGGCAAAGGGGGGTCTGACCCGATACTAGATGGGTGTACCTAATGAACTGGCCACTGAGTGTATATAGGCTATGATTATATATATTATTTTGTATGTATTATTCATGGACTTTAAACCTACAATGAAGTCAGTATCATCATGGATATTATTGTAGGCTATGTCCTTGTTGTCACTCACCTTGAGAAGCATGACGTCATTCTCCAGGTTGTCCCCATACCTGGGGTGTGGAATGTATTTAACCACATCCAATACTTGTTGTGAATTTTCATCCTCTGACAAGTCGTGAGCCCCAAGAACCACCCTGTAACGCCTGAAAATCAGTGCATGAAAGAATTTACTTGTGTATTTACCTTGAGAGACTAGTGTAATAACATTGAAATACATTTGGACAGATCCTACTACATTCTTAGACTCAACAACCCGGAAGCAACTATCAGCAGACAAAAAATACACACCCTTAATAGAAATCAGCAAAAAATAAATATTAGACACTGTTAAAGCATTCGCTCAGAGAAAAGCACCAGGTATGGACGGCTTTCTCATAGAATTGTACTTAACATTCTGGGACAAAGTAGCGCCCCTATTTACTCAAATGACAACACACGTCACTCAATTCAGTGCTTCCTAGTTCCATGTATCAATCAGTTATCTCAGTTATATTAAAACCAGGAAAATCTGGAGAGTCCCCTGCAGATTACAGACCCATAAATTTGATAAATTGTGACAATAAAATCATAACAAAACTCATAAGCAACAGAATGGCAAAAGTCTTCCCAGACTTGATACATGTTAAGCAAACAGGGTTGATTAAAAATAGATACAAACATACAAGAACATGTTTCGGTATAATACAATACGCTAAAAAACAAGATGTAGATGTATCAATAATGGCTGTTGATACCGAAAAGGCTTTCGACTGTCTTGAATGGCCTTTTCTATTCAAAACTTTGGAAGCCTTCAACTTTCCATTTGAAATAATAAATGTCATGAAAATATTATATAAATGTCCTAAAGCTAAAATATACACAAATGATACATTATCTGATTAATTTCCTTTAGAAAGGGGCACAAGACAGGGATGCCCCCCCCCCCCCCCCCCCCCCCTCACTGTTTGCACTGGCATTTAAACTACTTGCAGAAAGAATTAGACAGGACTCAAATGTAACAGCTATCAGTATTGATTAACATGAGTATAAACTAAACTTTTTTGCCGATTATCTCCTGATGTACCTGACAAATATGGAAAACTCAATTCCCCCCTTGTTAAAAATATTTTCAGAATACTCTAAAATCTCAGAATATAAAATACATGTGGAAAAAACTGAAATAATGTAATGGCAATAAGATAAATAGTAACTCATGATTTACAGCAATCCTTTAACTGGACCAAAAAAAATCTTACTGTAAATTCTTAGGATGCTTAATAAGTGACAACAAACAACAAATATATAAAGATTGCTTTATCCCATTACTCAACAACATGAAAGCAGATCTAATTAAATGGAACAATCTTCCCATAAATCTTACAGGTAAAATAAACCTTTTTAGAATGGCATGGCTCCCAAAGTTTTTATATTTATTTTCGGTAATACCAATTACCCAACCAAAGACATTCTTTAAAAAAGTATACTCGGTCATAGCAGACTTTATATGGGCAAATAAAACTAATAAACTAAAAAGGAAAGTTTTACATCTTCCTAAGTCTGAAGGTGGTTTTAACCTTCCAGACTTGGAATTGTATTAACTCGGCACACAAGGCTTTTATTTGCGACATATTGTTAAATGCACTAAAGAGGAACAATGTGTACGTATTGAAGATTCACATGCTCATACCCAGAATGTTTTCACGTGTCTATTTTCAAAGGAAAAAGCTAAGAACATTAACAACTTCATAGTTAAGAACACTATAACAGTAGGGAATAAAATGAAATGGATTCTACAAGAACCAATATCACTCCCTAAAAACAATGGAGCAATCCTTGGCTAGCTTTTCAGAATTCACTGATAAATTGGCCCACAATTAAAAGTTTAAAAGTTTAATATCACGACATTTCCACCTGAAAGCTTTTGGACATCAGAGCAATGTTGAGGGAATCCTATTTGAGTCAGAAAAATATACTTGTGTGATAGGTAAGATGTAAAAACCTTGCTTAGAGCCTATCCAACTGACAATCTCTTAGAAAAAAATATTAACTATTGGAACTAAGATTTAAAAATAACTGATATTGGCACAAGATGGAGGGAGTGTTGGAACATAATGAACAAAATTAGAGTTAACAAAAATGTACGCTTAATATAAACTCATGTAGAGAATGTATTATACAAGAGACAAAATTCACAAATTCTACAGCACAACGGCAGAGTCATGACTTAACAATGACTCAATAATTCATGACTTCTGTGAGTGCTATAAAGTCCTGTTATGGGCAGAGTTAGAAACCTGGCTGTCAGAAGTTTTACAATGTAAATGTACTTTTAATCCGTCTTTCAGCATATTTCAAGACATGGCATATCCTCGAGGGTGCGGTGAGATACCCAATTGGTTGGACTATTATTTTTGTCACTTATATTGAAGAAGCTATTACTTAAATACTGGAAGTGAAATGATACTCCATCGTTAAGAGAATGGAAGAATCAAATGCTTTATTGAAATATTGAAAGAAATCTGGCTACAGACAGAAACAACATAACACAATCTGAAGTCATATGGGGCAGAGTCTCACAAGCATTGGAAACAACATTGGGTGTGGAGACAGTGGGAAAATGTGGGTCTGAGCAAGTGTGATATCATTAATGTTTGTTGAAATGTATGTACATTTTAAGTTGTCTATTGTTTTTGTCTATGTATGATTTTTGGTTATTGTCAAAAAAAGTTGTATAAAATATTTTTTTTAAACAACATTGAAATAAATTAGTTTGAGAGATTCTGAGAGACTTGTTATATGTTTAATAGAGATTCTCACCCGTCACAGTGAGCAGCGGTGAGGACAAAATCCTCTCTCACCAGAACTCCTCCACAATCGTGTTGACCTCGGGACTGTAAGGAAGCCATGTAAGGACGAGAGTTACGAGCTGCCTCTCTTCCACCAACAATACCCACCTTCGGCACCTTGCGCCCATCAGTGCCTTTGAACAGAAAGTAGAGATTACTTTTTCTATAGCTTTTGTCTACAGCTCTGTATTGCTACTGTATCTGCACAGATTACAACAAATGGTATGTCAGTATTCACTACTGCCAAATAGAATATGAACTGCCTTTAGAGCTGTATGCAGAAGCATTGAAATTGGTGAAATATACTTTTCATAACTAGTACTATACTTTTATACTTATATATTAGTCTGCATGCTGCAGTCAGTTCAGTGCTAATGGAAGTTAGTGTGTAATTTAATTTAAACATGCCTTACCATTTAAGGCGATGATCAGCACTATGTGAAGAACCACTGAGCGGATTGCCATAGTGCATATGGACAAATGGCATGGTACACCTCTCGGTTATAAAAATGTAAGGGGGGGGGGGGGGGGTGTCTTTGTTCCCCATTGTACTGGGTCTTTGTTCCCCATTGCCACACACCGAACGTGTTTACCAATATTTTGCTGTGGCTTTATGGTTTCAAGTGTTGCTTGATGGTGTACTCTGAGAAAAGATGGTTGTGATATTAGGAAATCATGGCTAGTCTCTGCTGGCTGGTATGATTGTATAGAGATTTCCCTTGAATCTCAATATTTTATCAAAAACATTAGAGCAAGCATCAGTTCAAGTTTATGTAATTTATTTATGATGATACTCAAACATGCAGAAGCATTATGTTGGAAAGCAAATTACAAAGGCTCCATGTTGTGCTATCGCTGCAAATACTTGTGCAATGAGAAGCTACCACTAACTTCTGTTGGCATTGTTGGGACATAGTGGTGTTTACCATGATTTGCTCATGTAAACCTTTCCCAGCATTCGCAGGTTTGAATAGACTGCAAAACTGTTTAAGTATAACAAACATGACATTCTATCTGATGTGTATGCAATTCTTTATACTGATCACAAGCCATTTCACTATGTTCTGTTAAGCACACATTTATTTCCCTTACACTACATACATGGTAATTGTTATGCATTAAACATAGACAATAAAGATAGACACCCAATGTAACAATTTAAGAAAGACATCAGGAGTACCAGTAGGTATTAATATAAAAAAGAATTGGGCTGCAAACAAAACTAGGTTATTAGCACATTCATTTTGCAGGATAAATCCTAACATATTTTCTTGTTGATGACCTTCTTCCAGGGTAAGAACTTGGAAATCTGACTATAGACATTGGGCATGTACGGATAGTCACGGTTTACATCCGAGTTGAAGGAGATGAGACCCACAGCCTTTCCATTGAACACCAAAGGACCACCAGAATCCCCCTGTGGGAGAGATGATGATACCTTGTAGGTTACATACCAGTCAAAATTGGCCCATTTAGGTGCTTTGGTGCATGTATGATATAGGCTACAACATGTATGAACATCACATTGTCTTCCTACAATTTTTAAACTCAATATTATATTTTTTTTTTGGAGGGGGGGGGGTGTCTTTGTTCCCCATTGTACTGGGTCTTTGTTCCCCATTGCCACACACAGAACGTGTTTACCAATATTTTGCTGTGGCTTTATGGTTTCAAGTGTTGCTTGATGGTGTACTCTGAGAAAAGATGGTTGTGATATTAGGAAATCATGGCTAGTCTCTGCTGGCTGGTATGATTGTATAGAGATTTCCCTTGAATCTCAATATTTTATCAAAAACATTAGAGCAAGCATCAGTTCAAGTTTATGTAATTTATTTATGATGATACTCAAACATGCAGAAGCATTATGTTGGAAAGCAAATTACAAAGGCTCCATGTTGTGCTATCGCTGCAAATACTTGTGCAATGAGAAGCTACCACTAACTTCTGTTGGCATTGTTGGGACATAGTGGTGTTTACCATGATTTTCTCATGTAAACCTTGCCCAGCATTCGCAGGTTTGAATAGACTGCAAAACTGTTTAAGTATAACAAACATGACATTCTATCTGATGTGTATGCAATTCTTTATACTGATCACAAGCCATTTCACTCTGTTCTGTTAAGCACACATTTATTTCCCTTACACTACGTACATGGTAATTGTTATGCATTAAACATAGACGATAAAGATAGACATCCAATGTAACAATTTAAGAAAGACATCAGGAGTACCAATAGGTATTAATATAAAAAAGAATTGGGCTGCAAACAAAACTAGGTTATTAGCACATTCATTTTGCAGGATAAATCCTAACATATTTTCTTGTTGATGACCTTCTTCCAGGGTAAGAACTTGGAAATCTGACTATAGACATTGGGCATGTACGGATAGTCACAGTTTACATCCGAGTTGAAGGAGATGAGACCCACAGCCTTTCCATTGAACACCAAAGGACCACCAGAATCCCCCTGTGGGAGAGATGATGATACCTTGTAGGTTACATACCAGTCAAAAATTGGCCCATTTAGGTGCTTTGGTGCATGTATGATGTAGGCTACACATGTATGAACATCACATTGTCTTCCTACAATTTTTTGACTCAATATTATATATTTTTGAGGAGTTAAACAAACCTGACAAAAGCCGTTCTTGGTCAGGTATCCACCTGCACAGATGACTTTGGGAGAAAGTTTACGCCAATCCTTCTGGCAGACCTTCAGGACAATGGTAGTCACGTCCACCACTTGAAGGTCATTGACAATGCACTTGGTGTTGGGTTTGATGACTTGGTCCTTGAATTTTCCCTGTTTTCACAACTTTGCTTGATTTAGCTTCCCTAGACAGCTTGAAACACGTGTAGGCCAAAACGTGGGAATCTGTAGTGTTAGCAATTACTGATGAATGCATATGACCTATTAAGATGAACACTTAATAATAGTGTAAATAATAATATAAAGACATATCCTATTGAAACAAATATCTCACTATAGGCCTATCTTCAGAAGCATGATGTCATTACCAGTGTCAACATCTTCATAGTTGGGATTGCATTTGTGTTCCACGCTGTATCTGACAGCCATCTCTGGGCCCTTCTTGATGTTGTGGGTACCAATGACAGTCAAGTTGCTAAACGAGGAGCAGAAAAAAACATTGTTTATCAGTCTGTTGAGTAGTATGGACACTTGAAATTATATACTACTTTTTGAAATGTACAGTTGAAATTGAGTTAGGCTACTCTACCTTTTGTCACAGTGTGCAGCTGTTAGCACAAAGTCTGCAGTGATCAGGAATCCTCCACATGTGTGCTTCCCATTCTTCTGCACAGAGGCCATGTACTGCAGGGTATTCTTCTGTGCTTTTTTCCCATTGATGGTTTGACCCCCAAATACAACTGAGATAGTAAAAGTAGCAAAAGTGGCCACAATGAGCTAAACGGTAAGGTAATAGGCATTTGTTCAGATCTCATTGATGTGTGTCCATCAAGTTCAGGTGTGATGGGTGATTTCGAAAGAGTCAGGCGCAGGAGGGTAAATCACAGAATAACAGGATTTATTCCGGAACACAGAGTTACGCAGTAATGCGTCAACACTCCAGTGCTCAAAACAGGCGCACTGGAACCAACAAGGCACACAGGGAAATATCCTGGCGATACAAAATACTAGGAGCTCCACCGAGCTTCACTAACCACACAATAAATAATCACACACAAAGACAAGGGGGCAGAGGGAACACTTATACAGGTAATGATGAGGGGATATGAACTAGGTGTGTGTAATAAACAAGACAAAACAAATGGAATGATGAGATATGGAGCGGCAATGGCTAGAAGGCCGGTGACGACGAACACAGAAGCCTGCCCGAACAAGGAGAGGAGACAGCTTCGGAGGAAGTCGTGACATCAGGAGAGAGACATATCTGAATGTCCTAGATAGGTCAGGAGAACAGTAAGAAGTTTGTTCATGGTGTGCATCTTGCTTGGAGGGCTTTTCAAACAATCCAGGAATACCTGATTCACTATTGTACCCTTTATATACACAAGATGGTTGATCTGAGGACAGCTGTGGTTTCACTTCTATGATGACTATCTATTATGTTTCTATCGATCCTTGTATGGTCTTCCTGTAAAGGCAAGGTACGTGTTTTCTGCATTTACCATAACTCTGTCGGCCCTTCTACATATGAATAGGTGGAGAGTTATCATGGGGACCTTATATGTGACACACTGATTATTGGTGTCACTTTAATGTTGCCAATCCTTGTTGTCGTGTTGATGACCTTATTACTTTTGATACTCAAGTACAATTAAAACCAAATACTTGTAGACTTGTACTCAAGTAGTATTTTACTGGGTGACTCACTTTTACTTCAGTCATTTTCTATTAAGGTATCTTTACTTTTAATCAAGTATGATAATTAGGTACTTTTTCCACCAATGGTCCTTGGTGGTATTCTTCTGTTAAATGTTCTGCATCACATTTGAGTGTTTCTCAGCACACAGAAACAGACAGACTTCAGAAAGTATTCACACACCTTCACTTTTTCCACATAATGTTGTGTTACGGCCTTAATAAAAAATGTATTCAATTGAGATGTTTTGTCACTGGCCTACACACAATACCCCATCATGTCAAAGTGTAATTATGTTTTTCGAAATGTTTACAAATTAATAAAAAATGAAAAGCTGAAATGTCAATAAGTATTCAACCCCTTTGTTATAGCAAGCCTAAATACGTTCAGGAGTAAAAATGTGCTTAACAAGTCACATAATAAGTAGCATGGACTCACTCTGTGTGCAGTAATAGTGTTTAACATGATTTTTTAATGACTACCTCATCTCTGTACCCCACACATACAATTATCTGTAAGGTCCCTCAGTCGAGCAGTGAATTCACAGATTCAACCACAAAGACCAGGGAGGTTTTCCAATGCCTTGCAAAGAAGGGCACCTATTGGTAGATGGGTAAAAAAGCAGACATTGAATATCCCTTTGAGCATGGTGCAGTTATTAATTACACTTTGGATGGTGTATCAATACAACCCGTCACTACACAGATATAGGTGTCCTTCCTAACTCAGTAGCCGGAGAGGAAGGAAACCACTCAGGGATTTCACCAAGAGGCCAATAGTGACTTTAAAACAGTTACAGAGTTTAATGGCTGTGATAAGAGAAAACTGAGGATGGATCAACGACATTGTAGTTACTTCACATTAATAACGTAATTGCAGAGTGAAAAGAAGGAAGCCAGAACAGAATAGAAATATTCCAAAACATGCATCCTGTTTGCAACAAGGCACTAAGGTAATACAGCAAGAAATGTTGCAAAGCAAATAACTTTTTGTCCTGAATACAAAGTGTTATGTTTGGGACAAATCCAATACAACACATTTCCACCAGACACTGGGAAATGAATTCACCTTTCAGCAGGAATATAACCTAAAACACAAGACCATATCTACACTGGAGTTGCTTACCAAGAAGGAAGTGAATGTTCCTGAGTGGCCGAGTTACAGTTTTGACTTAAATCTACTTGAAAATCTATGGCAAGACCTGAAAATTGTTGTCTATCAATGATCAACAACCAATTTGACAGAGCTTGAAGAATTTTGAAAAGAATAATGGGCAAATGTTGCACAATCCAGGTGTGGAAAGCTCTTAGAGACGTACCCAGAAAGACTCACAGCTGTAATCGCTGCCAAAGGTGCTTCTACAAAGTATTGACTCAGGAGTGTGAATACTTATGTAAATTAGATATTATGTTTTTCATTTTCAATACATTTGTACAAATTTCTAAAAACATGTTTTAACTTTGGGATTATGGGGTATTGCGTGTAGTCCCGTGTAGCTCAGTTGGTAGAGCATGGCGTTTGCAACGCCAGGGTTGTGGGTTGGATTCCCACAGGGGGCCAGTATGAAAAAATTAAATAATGATGCACTCACTAACTGTAAGTTGCTCTGGATAAGAGCGTCTGCTAAATGACTCAAATGTAGATGGGTGAGATAAAACATATATTTAATCCATTTAGAATTCAGGCTGTAACACAACAAACTGTGAAATAAGTCAAGGGGTATGAATACTTTCTGAAGGCACTGTACATACAGACAGACGCCAGACAGACAGACCACAGTGATCACCATGTCCTCTGGTCTGAAAAAATAAGCTTTCGTTTGGTTTCAAAGCATTGTGACGTCTTCATGAAACCAGAGCTACTCTGTTGTCTTGACCACAAGTTTCCACGTGTGGTGGTGTTGGGTGATGACAGCTGAAGATGCAAGAAGAGCTAACTGCCTAAAGATGTATACTCAAATCAAATCAAAGTTTATTGGTCATGTACACAGTTTATCAGATGTTATAGCAGGTGCAGCGAAATGCTTATGTTACTAGCTCCTAACAATGCAGTAAAATGTCAAACAAGTACACGAATACAATACAATAAAATTAAATAAAAACACGACAACAAATCAATAAATGTCGGAATGAATCCAATTAACTCCCCAAATAGCACTGTAACAGTAATCAAAATGAAAATGACTTGAGGCTGTTAATGGAAATCAGCAAAAATACACACATAGACGTGCATGCATATACACTCTCTCCTAGTCGAGCATTCACATTCTCACACGCACACAGACACGGTACAGAGCTCATTGAAGAACGGACAGCCTTTATTGTTTCATACAATGATGTATATTTATTAATGTCTCATTCCTTAATACTTAATGATGCACTTGATCCAGGAAAGATACTTGGATATTTTGGTGTAGACGTTGGGCTTCTGTGGCTCATTGCAGTTTCCTTCCTGGTTAAAGGACACAACTCCTACTGCTGTCCCCTTGCACACCAGAGGACCTCCTGAATCTCCCTGCAATGATAGTTGAAACAATGGAGGGAAAAAACAAACGTACTCTTCATTTGCAAAGCAAATCGCTTCTTTATAATTAATGCATTATCAGAATTAAAGGGCAATTCCAACAATTTTCAACCTCATATTCATTATCTCCAGCACCAAACCAGTGTCTACATATGAAGAGTTTCATTCCAAAATGCAGCATATCTATTTTCAGAAATGTTGGTAAATTAGCTTTTATTGTTTAAAGAAATTATGAAAGCGATTGTTGTGTTGTTTCACTATCTAATCGAGGCATGGGGTTGTTCAGTGACAGACATATATCACTTCATGGTTTCATTTCAGAGAGACAAATAATCTATTTTTTTTGCTAAATGCTACATATCCACCTCAGTCTCACAGAAATAAGTAGTACTGCTAGGTTTTACACAGTCAAATGTAACAAATAAATACATTTTTTTATAAATAACTGTATAAATGATACTTTTGTGACATCAATATTTAAAAATGCTTTTTTTAAATAATTACATTTTTTGTAGACGCTCTTATCCAGAGTGATTTACAGGAGCAATTTGGATTACGTGTCTTGCTCAAGGGCACATCAACAGATTTTTCACATAGTCGGTTTAGGTATTTGAACCAGTAACCGCTAGGCTACCTGCAGTAATATGAGATCTGACATTTTAGTCATTTAGCAGATGCTCTTATCCAGAGCGACTTACAGTAAAGTAAGTGCATTTATCTTACGATAGCTAGGTGAGGCAACCACATATCACAGTCAAATATATAGGATACGAACATTCCATTCCAGCTAAACAATGGATACATAGCGTTTTGCAAAAATAACACATTTTCATACATATTTAATATCTATGAACAAAACATATGAGAACATAACAAATTTACACACACATGAAGGTACCCATAAGCAATCATTTCTGATGAAAAAACACAAATCTGAAAACATTTGTGGATATAGCGTTTTGGAAATTAACTGTTCATATGTGAAAACACATTTCTAAGATCTGTGGTTAAAAAGATACTGTAAGAAGAAAGGTCCTAAAAAATCAAAGGGTAGGATTAAAAGTTTTTAAAAAACACAGTGATTTTCAAGACCTGAAACGAGTTTCTAGCCCAAGGGAGGGTATTTCCTTGCTCCCCATGTCACCACGAATCACATAGTGACTGAAAATGTTTTATCTTTTGATGATGTCATTGGGTAGAACTTCTTTACTTGATATTTTTTCTACAAAGCGTAGTAATGCGCCATTTTCACATATGTTGACACTGGTATTGTGCTGGAGATAATGGAAATGAAGTTGAAAAGTAGTGGAGTTGCCCTTTAACTACATTCTATGACCATACCTGGCAAATGCCTTTATAATCAGCAGCAGTACCACCGGCACATATCATAGACGGGGTTATAGTGACAGTGTTCCCCCAAGATCTCTGGCAGGAACTTCTGTCTACAACGGTGACATTCACCTCCAGAAGGCGTGGGTTTGCAGAGCCCCCTGTTTTGGTGGCACCCCACCCTGCCACGGTACAGAAGGATTTGGCCTTGATGTCCTGGTCTTTCTTAGGGAGAGGGACCTGCTGCACAGCTTTGCTCTTCCGGGTAGTTTTGACAAGCTACAGTTAGAGTACATGTCTGTAGTTAGGTTTTCTAATACACTATATGATATATTATGCAACATTAATAGGCTACTATGTATGCACATGTTCAAAGGTTTTCATACGCGACTATGGGTCTTGTGTGGCTCAGTTGGTTGAGCATGGCGCTTGCAATGCTGTGGTTGTGGGTTTGATTCCCACGGAGGACGAGTACAAAATAAAAAGAAGATGTATGGACTCACTATTGTAAGTTACTCTGCATAAGAGCATCTGCTAAATGACTAAAATGTAGATGTAAATCACACCTCATTAAATGAAATGTTAATCTATGTAGATATGTTATTTATAACAGTACATTTGGCATTTATTATTTGAGGAATGGGGGGCTAAGCTAAGAGACATTCTCACATTGTGCATACTTCTGCTGTCATGTACCTGCAACAGCATGATGTCGTTCTCCAATGGCTTAGCATTGTAACCAGGATGTATGTGGTAATATTTCACATCAATGATGTGAGAACTTTCCTGCCTTGTAATGTCATGAGCACCAACCACAACTGTCAGATTCACACCCCTGTGAAGAGGAAACAACAGTCTACTTACTGAGCACCTAAGCACACAGAACATTCTACAGCATAAAACAAATATGCCATTTTTAACAGATACCAGAGAACAATTTATGACTTTTTGGTTTGAGTAGTTAAAGTTGTAGATGTCATTTTCTTACCAAAATAGTTCAATAGGATAAGAGTAACACACAATTACCATTTGTAGCAGTGGGCGGCTGTCATGACAAAACTCTCAGACACGAGGAACCCTCCACAGATATGTGACTTCTTTGCTTGTACAGAGACCATGTAGGGTTTGGAGTTAAGTCTGGCTTCTGCTCCATTCACTATGCCAGAGTCCTGGTAGGCTGGGACAGAGAGATTTGCCTTAATGAATCGTAGGCAGTGGTAGGCTATCACGTCGATACAAGATATTGAATAATTTTTCATGACATTCTGCTATTTACTTAAAAAAATTGTGTTTTTATAACAAGATCAGCTTTATTAACATCAATACCATACATTATATCACATTTACATTTCATAATGAAGAAAGATTGAGAATGATTTTAAGGGATTCAAAAGTCAACAACTTCCCATCGTTCACCCCCTCCACGTTTCGTTTCAATGGTTCTTCTCCTTTTCAGATCAATTCGAATTTGTTTAAAGACTGTCTCGCTGGAAACCAAAATATTTTCAATTGCAATTCGGCACCGGGTTTTCCATATTTGTGCTTTTACTGTACTTTACCATACAACTAATTGATGAATTGTACCATAATTGTCAGGTTACATTATAAAACCAGAAAGAAGACCTTCTGTGTGTCTACAGTGGGGGAAAAAAGTATTTAGTCAGCCACCAATTGTGCAAATTCTCCCACTTAAAAAGATGAGAGAGGCCTGTAATTTTCATCATAGGTACACGTCAACTATGACAGACAAATTGAGGAAAACAAATCCAGAAAATCACATTGTAGGATTTTTTATGAATTTATTTGCAAATTAAATATTTGGTCACCTACAAACAAGCAAGATTTCTGGCTCTCACAGACCTGTCACTTCTTCTTTAAGAGGCTCCTCTGTCCTCCACTCGTTACCTGTATTAATGGCACCTGTTTGAACTTGTCATCAGTATAAAAGACACCTGTCCACAACCTCAAACAGTCACACTCCAAACTCCACTATGGCCAAGACCAAAGAGCTGTCAAAGGACACCAGAAACAAAATTGTAGACCTGCACCAGGCTGGGAAGACTGAATCTGCAATAGGCAAGCAGCTTGGTTTGAAGAAATCAACTGTGGGAGCAATTATTAGGAAATGGAAGACATACAAGACCACTGATAATCTCCCTCGATCTGGGGCTCCACGCAAGATCTCACCCCGTGGGTTCAAAATGATCACAAGAACGGTGAGCAAAAATCCCAGAACCACACGGGGGGACCTAGTGAATGACCTGCAGAGAGCTGGGACCAAAGTAACAAAGCCTACCATCAGTAACACACTACGCCGCTGAGTTGCATCCAAAGAACACCATACCTACTGTGAAGCATGGGGGTGGAAACATCATGCTTTGGGGCTGTTTTTCTGCAAAGGGACCAGGACGACTGATCCGTGTAAAGGAAAGAATGAATGGGGCCATGTATCGTGAGATTTTGACTGCAAACCTCCTTCCATCAGCAAGGGCATTGAAGATGAAACGTGGCTGTGTCTTTCAGCATGACAATGATCCCAAACACACCGCACGGGCAACGAAGGAGTGGCATCGTAAGAATCATTTCAAGGTCCTGGAGTGGCCTAGCCAGTCTCCAGATCTCAACCCCATAGAAAATCTTTGGAGGGAGTTGAAAGTCCGTGTTGCCCAGCGACAGCCCCAAAACATCACTGCTATAGAGGAGATCTGCATGGAGGAATGGGCCAAAATACCAGCAACAGTGTGTGAAAACCTTGTGAAGACTTACAGAAAACGTTTGACCTGTGTCATTGCCAACAAAGGGTATATAACAAAGTATTGAGAAACTTTTGTTATTGACCATATACTTATTTTCCACCATAATTTGCAAATAAATTCATAAAAAATCCTACAATGTGATTTTCTGGATAATTTTTTCTCATTTTGTCTGTCATAGTTGACGTGTACCTATGATGAAAATTACAGGCCTCTCTCATCTTTTTAAGTGGGAGAACTTGCACAATTGGTGGCTGACTAAATACTTTTTTTCCCCACTGTATGTCCCTAGCGTCCCTTTGCTGTTCTAGAGAATAGATGCGGGTCAGAAGGTAAAATGTCCCACTCTGCTGCCCTCTGACCCCAGAGTGTGTAGACGTCAAAGGTGACGTTTGGTCTTACCTGTGAGCCCTGGAGCGGGCAGTAGAGTGATGAGCAGGAGCAGGAGAGATGTGGCAGCCATGTTGTCAAAGAGCGTGATTGAAAATGTGTTTGAGAATGTGAGAGAATGAGTGATGGGGTCTTTGTCTTCTCAGACTGGTGGGTTTAGAAGTGGTGAGTGTCTCTATGAACTCCTTCACAGGATGTACCACCTGCTAGTGTCACAGATTCTCACCTCTCAGAGTGTGAACTTACCATACATACTATCGATTGACACCTCATATAGGCCTAGATCATCCACCACATTGTGACTGTTAATATTCGCTGGAAAACAGCCCTAAGATGATATATATTTTCCTACCTAATTGTACTATTAGTTAACTTTCTTTGATAAAACAGATATACCGTTTTAATCACTAATTTTTCACTTGAAAAATGGCTTTAAGTATTTGTAATTCCAGAAAGGATTCATGCTTGATATCACTGTAATAATTGTATTTAGGTAAGAAATAATTGAATACTCATTTTGTCAGGCCGTGTGTCTCAGGTACTGTAGTATATCCAGCAGAGGGGACAAGAGAGTCAGAAATATTTCTGAAAGTTATTCAGTCTTACAACCAAGAGATGGTGCAGCGTCCCCAGTTGAAAGAATCGACATGGTGCTGGTTTCCCCACATTCAGTGTTTCCCCCCTCCTACAATGCATTGTGCAACATTAACCCAGCGTGTTTTGTGTAACATCAGAGAATTCCACCAGCTTATCCCATGTAATTACCTATTTAAATTGTCTGTGCTTTCTCCCTCATTCAAGACAATAGCTATTTGTCTTACATGGAGGTCGATGCCCTCCTTTCTTTGATCCCATTATGTGTCTACGTGCCAACCATGAACAACTAGACGTTAACATTGTGTGATCACCCCACTCTAGATACCTAAAAAACATGCTTATTTCATTTCACAATGTACACTATTTAAAACGGCCAAACTCCATTCACAACAGGATTCAGTTGGTAAGAGACAGACATTCAGTCAATACTAGGAATAGATTGTCCGCCATCTATGTCTTATCCCGGCAGAGAAGAGAAATTGGCAAAATAACATTTAGATTCAGCGCAATAAAGAAATTGAATTATTTATCTGAGCAAACCAAAAACCTTTCAATATAAAAAGTCATACAATACTTTAGAACTACTTAAACATAATACATTGGAAGGATGTGCATGACTATGGTAGAGGAAGGAACCAATCTATCTAAATCTAAATATTCTGTCAGAGTATTTATCTGGTCAATATGTCAGTGTATTACATCTGTTGTTTGTACCAGTGTGTTATAGGTGAAAATGTGATTGTATTATAAATTGTATTTTAATGTTTAAGGACTCTTGGAAGATTAGTCCAAATGAGGACTAAAAGAGATCCTAATAAAATCAAATAAAATGTGGCAGGCCTTGCTATTGTCATCTCAGTCTGTTTTCAGTCGCGCTGTGAACCACTTGTTGCATCTGCTAAGTTTGCAATGCATTAGTGCCGTGCTATCAGCACTCCGAACCAGATAGATGAACCACATTGACCAAGGCTTCTGGCATTCAAAGGAAGCAGTGGTGTAGTTTCAGAGTATTGTGTCGCCTTCATGAAACCAGAGCTACTTTGTTTTCTTCACTATTTGTTTCCATGTAGCCTATGTGTCTAAAGACTCGTATGATAATAACCCTATGTTGTTCATGTCAGTAGTGACTCATGGAAAATGACTTGAGGCTTTTGCTGGAAATCAGCACACACACGCACACACACACACATACACTCCACAGATATGTGTCTTTGCCTGTACAGAGACCGTATAGGGTTTGGAGTAGCACCTGGCCTGTACTCCATTCACTATGCCAGAATCCTGTCATTGTGATTATCACATTATGATTATTCACATTTCCAGTGAAAACAGCACTATGATACATTTCTTCATACTTAGTGGTAAATGCTTTTGTCTTGTCTCATGTCTGTTGTGTCAAGACTCTCAGGTATGGTTACATCTAGCAGAGGGAGCAAGAGAGTGGGGACGGGGGACGGGGACGGGGACGGGGGACGGGGACGGGGACGGGGACGGGGACGGGGATGGGGACGGGGGACTCACAATGAAAACTAGTTGAGATAGATATTGGCCTACAGAGTGCACCTATTCAGAAACAACATGTTAACTACGAAAGGGCCATACCTTTCAAGTCACTATAGAAACAACAGTAAAACATTAAATGCAATGTTAGTTTCAGATTAAGAGGAAGTTGTGTTGTGATCATTGAAGTGGAACCTTGTTGAATAATCTTGGACCTTGGTGGTATTCTTCTGTGAAACTACATCTGAGTGTTTCTCAGCACACAGAAACAGAGAGACAAGTTTCCACGTGTGGTGGTGTTGGGTGATGACTGCTGAAGATGCAAGAAGAGCTAGCTGCCTAAAGATGTATACTCAAATCAAATCAAAGTTTATTGGTCATGTACGCAGTTTATCAGATGTTATAGCAGGTGCAGCAAAATGCTTATGTTACTAGCTCCTAACAATGCAGTAAAATGTAAAACAAATAAAAACATTTAAAAAAAGAAATGTCAGAACGAATCCAATTAACCCAAAAGCTCTGTAACAGTAATCCAAATGCAATCTGTACGTATATACTGTACATCGGATGAATATACACACATGAGGCTACTTGCGTTGACTTAAAGAGCTTGGTCATATTTTTAACCGTATATAGCCTTTATCTACAGTGAAGAATGGAAAATGACTTGAGGCTGTTAATGGAAATCAACTAAAATAAACACGTGCATGTGCGTGCATAAACAGTTTCTCTTACGTCCGCAAACACATTCTCACAGGCACACAGACACGGTACAGAGCTCATTGAAGAACGGACATCCTTTTCTGTTTGATACAGTGATATATATTTGAAGAGTTTCATTCCAAAACTCCAAATATCCTTTTTCAGAAATGTTGGTGAATTAGCTTTTATTGTTTAAAGAAATTATGAAAGAGATTGGTGTGTTTTTACACTATCTAATCATGGCATGGGATTTGTTCAATGACAGACATGTATTTGTTAAAAATCTATCACTTGATGGTTTCATTTCAGACAGATAATCATGTTTCTGGGTTTTTTTTGTGCAAAATGCTATATATTTGCCTCACTATCAGAGAAATAAGTAGTACTGCTAGGTTTTACGCAGTCAAATGTAAGAAATAACAAAAATAACAAAAAACATTATAAAGAAATGTACAAATGTTAGATTGGTGACATCAACATACATGTTTTTTTTTTATTATATATAATTCAATACAGTAATATGAGATCTGTATGTAAAACAAATAAAAAAATTGACATTTTAGTCATTTAGCAGATGCTATTATCCAGAGCGACTTACAGTAAGTTAATTAATCTTAAAATAGCTAGGTGAGACAACATCATATCACAGTCAAATATACAGGATACAAACATTCCATTCCAGCTAAACAATGGATATACAGCCTACAACAACAAACAAAAACATTTTCATACACATCTGAAATCTATTAATAAAAGATCTGAGAACAGTAATATTTTACACACACACATGAAGGTACCCATAAGCGTTTTGGAAATAAACTCTTCATTTATTACTCACTCAATGTATATTTCATTCCTTAATACTTCATGATACACTTGATCCAGGAAAGATACTTGGATATTTTGGTGTAGACGTTGGGCTTCTGTGGCTCATTGCAGTTGTCTTTCTGGTTAAAGGACACAACTCCTACTGCTGTCCCCTTGCACACCAGAGGACCTCCTGAATCTCCCTGCAATAATAGTTGAAATAAGGGAATGAAAAAACTAAATTACTCTACATTTACAAAGAAAGTCACTTTATAATTAATGCATTATCAGAATTAAAGACATTCTATGACCATACCTGGCAAACGCCTTTATAATCAGCAGCAGTACCACCAGCACATATCATAGACGGGGTTATGGTGCCAGTTTTCCCCCAAGATCTCTGGCAGGAACTTCTGTCTACAACAGCTACATTCACCTCTAGAAGGCATGGGTTTGCAGAACCGTTTGTTTTGGTGGCACCCCACCCTGCGACGGTACAGAAGGATTTGGCCTTGATGTCCTGGTCTTTCTTAGGGAGAGGGATCTGCTGCACAGCTTTGCTCTTCGGGGTAGTTTTGACAAGCTACATTTGGAGCACATGATCATACAGTTGATGATATTATACAAAATATTATTATACACATCTTCCATGGTTTTCATACATGACTACTGCACTGGATTTTGCATACTTCCGCTGTCATGTACCTGCAACAGCATGATGTCGTTCTCCAATGTCTTAGCATTGTAACCAGGATGTATGTGGTAATCTTTCACATCAATGATGTAAGAAGAACTTCGAGGTCTTGTAATGTCATGAGCACCAACCATAACCGTCAGATTCACACCCCTGTGAAGAGGAAACAACAGTCTACTTACTGAGCACCTAAGCACACAGAACATTCTACAGCATAAAACAAATATGCCATTTTTAACAGATACCAGAGAACAATTTATGACTTTTTGGTTTGAGTAGTTAAAGTTGTGGAAGTCATTTTCTTACCTAAATAGTTCAATAGGATTAGAGTAAAACACAATTACCATATGTAGCAGTGGGCGGCTGTCATGACAAAGCTCTCAGACACGAGGAACCCTCCACAGATATGCTTAGTCTTGTTTTGTATAGAGACCATGTAGGGTTTGGAGTTGCGTCTGGATTCTGCTCCATTCACTATGCCAGAGTCCTGGTAAGCTGGGACAGAGAGATTTGACCTAATGAAACGTAAGCAGTGGTGGGCTATCACGTCGATACAAGATATTGAATTGTTTTTCATCACATCAATTGTTCTGGTCTTTACCAGACAACTAATTGATTAATTGTACCATAATTGTCAGGTTATATTATAAAACCAGAAAGAAGACCTTCTGTGTGTCTATGTCCCTAGCGTCCCTTTGCTGTTCTAGAGAATAGATGAGGGTGAGAAGGTCAAAAGTTTCCCACACTGCTGCCCTCTCACCCCAGAGTGAGTAGAGGTCAAAGGTGAAGTTTGGTCTTACCTGTGAGCCCTGGAGCAGGCAGGAGAGTGATGAGCAGGAGCAGGAGAGATGTGGCAGCCATGTTGTCAAAGAGCGTGATTGAAAATGTGTTCGAGAATGTGAGAGAGTGAGTGATGGAGTCTTTGTCTTCTCAGACTGGTGGGTTTTGAAGTGCTGAGTGTCTCTATGAACTCCTTCACAGGATGTACCACCTGCTCGCTTCACAGGATCTCACCTCTCAGAGTGTGAACTTACCATACGTACTATTGATTGACACCTCTTATAGGCCTAGATCATCCACCACATTGTGACTGTTAATATTCGCTGGAAAACAGCCCTAAGATTATATATATTTTTCAACCTACGCTCTTAGAAAAAAGGGTTCCAAAAGGGTTCTGCGACTGTCCCCATAAGATAACCCTTTTTTGGTTTCAGGTAGATCCCTTTTAAGCATAACTCTTTTGGGTAGCATGTAGAACCCTCTGTGCAAAGGGTTCTACATCAAATCAAATCAAATGTTATTTGTCACATGCGCGAATACAACAGGTGTAGACCTAACCGTGAAATGCTTACTTACAATCCCTTAACCAACAATGCAAGAACTAGAGTTAAGAAAGTATTTACTGAATAAACTAAAGAAAACATTTAATAAATTAAATAAAAAGTAACACAATAAAAAAAAAAAATTTGTTGTAGTTCCCTCTTCATGACTGTCTTGGTGTGTTTGGACCATGATAGTTTGTTGGTGATGTGGACACCAAGGAACTTGAAACTCTCGACCTGCTCCACTACAACCCCGTCGATGTTAATGGGGGCCTGTTCGGCCCTCCTTTTCCTGTAGTCCACCATCAGCTCCTTTGTCTTGCTGACATTGAAGGAGAGGTTGTTGTCCTGGCACCACACTGCCAGGTCTCTGACCTCCTCCCTATAGGCTGTCTCATCGTTGTCCGTGATCAGGCCTACCACTGTTGTGTCATCAGCAAACTTAATTATGGTTTTGGAGTCGTGCTTGGCCACGCAGTCGTGGGTGAACAGGGGAGTACAGGAGGGGACTAAGCACACACACCCCTGAGGGGCCCCGGTGTTGAGGATCAGCGTGGCAGATGTGTTGTTGCCTACCCTTACCACCTCGGGCGGCCCGTCAGGAAGTCCAGGATCCAGTTGCAGAGGGAGGTGTTTAGTCCCAGGGTCTTTAGCTTAGTGATAAACTTTGTGGGCACTATGGTGTTGAACGCTGAGCTGTAGTCAATGAACAGCATTCTCACATAGGTGTTCCTTTTGTCCAGGTGGGAAAGGACAGTGTGAAGTGCGATTGAGATTGTGTCATCTGTGGATCTGTTCGGGCGGTATGCGAATTGGAGTGGGTCTAGGGTTTCCGGGATGATGGTGTTGATGTGAGCCATGACCAGCCTTTCAAAGCACTTAATGGCTACCGACATGAGTGCTACGGGGCGGTAGTCATTTAGGCAGGTTACCTTCGCATTATTGGGCACAGGGACTATGCTGGTCTGCTTGAAACATTTAGGTATTACAGACTCGGTCAGGGAGAGGTTGGAAATGTCAGTGAAGACACTAGCCAGTTGGTCCGTGCATGCTCTGAGTACACGTCCTGGTAATCCAAAAGGGTTCTACCTGGAACCACAAGGGTTCAACCTGGAACCACAAGGATTCTACCTGGAACCAAAATGGGTTCTTCAAATGGTTCTCCTATGGGGACATCTGAAGAACCCTTTTTGGTTCTAGATAGCACCTTTTTTTCTGAGCGTGTACTGGTACTACAGTATTGGTTAACTGTCTTTGATCAAACAGATGTACAGTTTTAATCCTGACTTTTTCACTTGAAAAATGGCTTTAAGTATTTGTAATTCCAGAAAGTATTTATGCTTGATATCACTGTAATGCTTGTTTTTAGTTTAGAAATTGCATTTTGAAAGGCCATGTGTCTGAGGTACTGTAGTATATCCAGCAGAGGGGACAAGAGAGTCAGAAATATTTCTGAAAGTTATTTAGTCTTCCAACCAAGAGATGGAGCAGCGTCCACAGTTTAATTAATAGACATGGTGCTGGTTTCCCACATTCAATGTTTTTGTTGTTGTATTTTTATTTATTATATGTATATATATTTTTTTTTTACAATGCATTGTTACTGTGTGTAATATTAACCCAGAGTGTTTTGTATAACACTAGGGAATCCACCCTCATTCAAGAGCTATGTGTTTTACATGGAGGTCGATGCCCTCCTGGGTGTGACCCCATTGTGTGTCAATGTAACCACTACATGCCAACCATGAACAACTAGCCAGTGTGTCTATGTATGCTGATGACTCAACACTATACACGTCAGCTACCACAGCGACTGAAATCACTGCAACTGCAGTTAGTTTCAGAATGGGTGGCAAGGAATAAGTTAGTCTTAAATATTTCAAAACTAGAAGCATTGTATTTGGGACAAATCATTCACCAAACCCTAAACCTCAACTAAATCTTGTAATGAATAATGTGGAAACTGAGCAAGTTGAGGAGAATACACTGCTTGGAGTAACCCTGGATTGTAAACTGTCATGGTCAAAACATATTGATACAACAGTAGCTAGGATGGGGAGAAGTCTGTCCATAATAAAGCGCTACTCTGCATTGGATGTACACAGAGAGCTAACATTAACCTCTATGGGATCGGTGTCCCATATACGGGACGGTTGAGCTAATGTGCGCTAATGTGATTAGCATGACTGTTGTAAGTAACAGCAAACTTTCCAGGACATAGACATGTCTTATATGGGCAGAAAGCTTAAATTCTTGTTCATATAACTGCACTGTCCAATTTACAGTAGCTATTACAGTGAAATAATACCATACTATTGTTTGAGGTGAGTGCACAACAACAAAAAACTTAGCACGGCAACTGGTTTGATACATTCACCTCTGAAGGTAAATAATGTACTTACATTCAGTAATCTTGCTCTGATTTGTCATCCTAAGGGTCCCAGAGATAAAATGTAGTATAGTTTTGTTTGATCAAATCCATTTTTATATTCAAATGTAGGAACTGGGTTCTACTGTTTGAACCCCTGCTGTCTCTGGCTCCACCCCCACCCCGCCCGGCCATCTAGATGTGTGAAAGTTAGTGTATAAGCTAATGATCCATCATGTATGACATTCCTGGGAGTGTGTAAACTTATATTTTGTATTACCATATCATTTTTGTATGTTCTCAATAGTTATGTACTTGTTAATGTATCAATTGACCAATTCGGCACATTTGGGCAGACTTGATACAAAATAGTCCAGTATTGCAATGCTTCACTGGAAACTGCAATATTATATTGTGGCCTTTCTCTTGCATTTCAAAGATGATGGAACAAAACAAATAATAGAAAATGCATGTTTTTTTGTTTGTATCATCTTTTACCAGATCTAATGTGTTATATTCTCCTACATTAATTTCACATTTCCACAAACTTCAAAGTGTTTCCTTTCAAATGGTATCAACAATATGCATATCCTTGCTTCAGGTCCTGAGCTACAGGCAGTTAATATTGGGTATGTTATTTTAGGCGAAGATTGAAAAAAAAGGGGTTAATAATGTGCATGTCGATCTCTCCTGGCTCAAAGTGGAGGAGAGATTGACTTCATCCCTACTTGTACTTGTGAGAGGTATTGACATGCTGAATGCATCGAGCTGTCTGTTTGAACTACTGGCACACACCTCAGACACCCATGCTTACCCCACAAGACATGCCACCAGAGGTCTCTTCACCGTCCCCAAGTCCAGAACAGACTATGGGAGGTGCACAGTACTACGTAGAGCCATGACTACATGGAACTCTATTCCACGTCAAGTAACTCATGCAAGCAGTAAAATTAGATTTTAAAAACAGATAAAAATACACCTTATGGAACAGCGGGGACTTTAAAGCAAAACAAACATAGGCACAGACACATGCATACAAACACACAATAACATTTGCACTATACACACACGTACACATGGATTTTGTGTTGTAGATATGTGGTAGTAGAGTAGGGGCCTGAGGGCACACACTTATTAGTATGTTGTGAAATCTGTTGTGAATGTATTGTAATGCTTTAAAACATGTATAACTGCCTTACTTTTGCTGGACCCCAGGAAGAGTAGCTGCTGCCTTAGGAGGCATCTAATGGGGATCCATAAGAAATACAAATACAAGTACAAATACAAACTAGCGCTTTATTATGTGTGACCACACAACACTCTAGATACGGCAGACCTTGCTATTGTAATCTCTGTCTGTTTTCCATTGCTTGTGCACTAGTTTTTGAACCTGCTAAGTTTGCAATGCATTAGTGCCGTGCTATCAGCACTCCGAACCAGATAGATGGACCACAGTGACCAAGGCTTCTGGCATTCAGAGGAAGCAGTGGTGTAGTTTCAGAGTATTGAGCCGCCTTCATGAAACCAGACCTACTTTGGGTGAATTTTGGCCCATTCCTCCTGACAGAGCTGGTGTAACTGAGTCAGGTTTGTAGGCCTCCTTGCTCGCACACGCTTTTTCAGTTCTGCCCACAAATTGTCTATAGGATTGAGGTCAGGGCTTTGTGATGGCCACTCCAATACCTTGACTTTGTTGTCCTTAAGCCATTTTGCCACAACTTTGGAATTATGCTTGGGTTCATTGTCCATTTGGAAGACCCATTTGAGACCAATCATTAACTTCCTGACTGATGTCTTGAGATGTTGCTTCAATATATCCACATAATTTTCCTTCCTCATGATGCCATCTATTTTGTGAAGTGCACCAGTCACTCCTGCAGCAAAGCACCCCCACAGCATGATGCTGCCACACCTCCAATTGACTCAAATGACGTCAATTAGCCTAACAGAAGCTTCTAAAGCCATGACATCATTTTCTGGAATTTTCCAAGCTGTTTAAAGGCCTAGTCAACTTCTGACCCACTGGAATTGTGATACAGTGAATTATAAGTGAAATAATCTGTCTGTAAACAATTGTTGGAAAAATTACTTGTGTCATGCACAAAGTAAATGTCCTAACCGACTTGCCAAAACTATAGTTTGTTAACAAGAAATGTGTGGAGTGGTTTGTGTAAGTGTATGTAAACTTACGACTTCAACTGTAAATACTTCTGAAAAAGTGTGGAAATCATATTCTTCTATACTAATACAATTGCTCAGAGAAATACATTTTGTTTAACAAGTATTGGTCACAAAATCAACATTTTGCAATGGACATCTCATTCTCTGGACTTGAAAACCTGTGGTGTGAATTTGAAGAGGGCAGTCCATAAGCAAAGACAAATTAAATCAAGGATCTGGAAGGATTCTGTATGAAGGAATGGAATGGTCTAAGATCCCTCCCAATGTGTTCTCCAACCATAGCCGCGGGAAGTAGGGGTGCTGAGGATGCTGTAGCACCCCCTGAAAAATCGGAATTAAAAAATAAATAATTAATAAAAACAGATATTATACTTTTTTTAAATATTTTTTTTCACAAATGTAGTGTACTGGGCCTTCACTAGTCCTGTATTAGAGGACCGATATAGATGTCTGTAGCGCGAGCAAAACATTATTTTCATCATCTCCATTTTGGCAAAGTAAGGTTGTTAGTTATAAAATTAAGAACAGTATCTTGCAAGATTCCATAGTTGGAATTGTAAGAGTTGTTGCCCTGTTCCTTTCTCTGCGGTCGTCATTCTAATGGAATCCAAATAGAACAAAACCCTGTCCTCAAACATTTACATCAAAAGGTGCAAAGTCATGGGCAAAGACCCAAAACATCCACATCAAATTAAATATTTTTCTTGATCAAATAACATGGAAAACAACCACTTTTTGTGCAGTATTAATTTACCATCGTTACAAACTGCTTCATGTAAATGTACATTACTGTATTGTACACAGGCTGGTCATCTAGGTTTTGTACCTGTGGACTTTCCATGAAGAAACACAATGCACAATACAGTAATTGAGTACATTGAGACATCAAGTGGTTTGTGATGATATGATGTGGTTTAGTTGGTAGAGCATGGCGCTTGCAACGCTAGGGTTGTGGGTTTGATTCCCACGGGGGACCAGTATGAAAATGTATGCACTCACTACTGTAAGTTGCTCTGGATAAGAGTGTCTACTGAAATGTAAAAGGAATGATTTACCATTTTTAAAAATGCACCCCCCCCCCCCCCTCCCCCCACTTCTTGCGGCTATGTCTCCAACTCATAAAACATTTTAGAAGAAGGCTCAGTACCACTATCCTTGCAAGGTGAGGTATTGAAACGTATTGAATACAGGGGTGTCAATAATTTTGACCCCTAGCTTTTTGAGAAAAAAGTTATCACTTGTTAAACAAAATCTCTTTCTCTGAGCAAGGCTATGTATTCCATTCCAGCTAAACAATGCATATATAGCGTTTAGCAAAAAAATAAAAAAAAACATTTTCATACACATCTGAAATCTATGAATTAAAAATCTGAAAATGGTAATGAATGTACCCATAAGCAATCATTTCTGATGAATAAACACAAATGTGAAGAATTGGTAAATATAGCGTTTTGGAAATAAACTCTTCATTTATTACTCACTCAATGTATATTTCATTCCTTAATACTTCATGATACACTTGATCCAGGAAAGATACTTTGATATTTTGGTGTAGACGTTGGGCTTCTGTGGCTCATTGCAGTTTCCTTTCTGGTTAAAGGACACAACTCCTACTGCTGTCCCCTTGCACACCAGAGGACCTCCTGAATCTCCCTGCAATAGTAATTGAAATAAGGGAATGAAAAAACAAAATTACTCTACATTTACAAAGAAAGTCACTTTATAATTAATGCATTATCAGAATTAAAGACATTCTATGACCATACCTGGCAAACGCCTTTATAATCAGCAGCAGTACCACCAGCACATATCATAGACGGGGTTATGGTGCCAGTTTTCCCCCAAGATCTCTGGCAGGAACTTCTGTCTACAACAGCTACATTCACCTCTAGAAGGCATGGGTTTGGAGAACCGTCTGTTTTGGTGGCACCCCACCCTGCGACGGTACAGAAGGATTTGGCCTTGATGTCCTGGTCTTTCTTAGGGAGAGGGATCTGCTGCACAGCTTTGCTCTTCGGGGTAGTTTTGACAAGCTACATTTGGAGCACATGATCATACAGTTGATGATATTATACAAAATATTATTATACACATCTTCCAAGGTTTTCATACATGACTACTGCACTGGATTTTGCATACTTCCGCTGTCATGTACCTGCAACAGCATGATGTCGTTCTCCAATGTCTTAGCATTGTAACCAGGATGTATGTGGTAATCTTTCACATCAATGATGTAAGAAGAACTTCCAGGTCTTGTAATGTCATGAGCACCAACCATAACCGTCAGATTCACACCCCTGTGAAGAGGAAACAACAGTCTACTTACTGAGCACCTAAGCACACAGAACATTCTACAGCATAAAACAAATATGCCATTTTTAACAGATACCAGAGAACAATTTATGACTTTTTGGTTTGAGTAGTTACAGTTGTGGAAGTCATTTTCTTACCTAAATAGTTCAATAGGATTAGAGTAAAACACAATTACCATATGTAGCAGTGGGTGGCTGTCATGACAAAGCTCTCAGACACGAGGAACCCTCCACAGATATGCTTAGTCTTGTTTTGTATAGAGACCATGTAGGGTTTGGAGTTGCGTCTGGATTCTGCTCCATTCACTATGCCAGAGTCCTGGTAAGCTGGGACAGAGAGATTTGCCCTAATGAAACGTAAGCAGTGGTGGGCTATCACGTCGATACAAGATATTTAATTGTTTTTCATCACATCAATTGTTCTGGTCTTTACCAGACAACTAATTGATTAATTGTACCATAATTGTCAGGTTACATTATAAAACCAGAAAGAAGACCTTCTGTGTGTCTATGTCCCTAGCGTCCCTTTGCTGTTCTAGAGAATAGATGAGGGTGAGAAGGTCAAAAGTTTCCCACTCTGCTGCCCTCTCACCCCAGAGTGAGTAGAGGTCAAAGGTGAAGTTTGGTCTTACCTGTGAGCCCTGGAGCAGGCAGGAGAGTGATGAGCAGGAGCAGGAGAGATGTGGCAGCCATGTTGTCAAAGAGCGTGATTGAAAATGTGTTCGAGAATGTGAGAGAATGAGTGATGGAGTCTTTGTCTTCTCAGACTGGTGGGTTTTGAAGTGCTGAGTGTCTCTATGAACTCCTTCACAGGATGTACCACCTGCTCGCTTCACAGGATCTCACCTCTCAGAGTGTGAACTTACCATACGTACTATCGATTGACACCTCTTATAGGCCTAGATCATCCACCACATTGTGACTTTTAATATTAGCTGGAAAACAGCCCTAAGATGATATATATATATTTTCCTACCTAGTGGTATCATTACTGCCCTTTCTTTGATCAAACAGATGGACAGTTTTAATCCTGACACGTGAAAAATTTCTTAAAGTAATTGTAATTCCAGATAGTATTCATTCTTTTTATTTATTTATTTATTTTACCCTTATTTTTTCAGGTAAGTTGACTGAGAACACATTCTCATTTACAGCAATACAACTGTAATGCTTGTATTTATACTGAACAAAAATATAAACGCAACATGCAACAATTTCAAAGATTTTACTGAGTTACAGTTCATATAGAGTGGGGAAAAAAAGTATTTAGTCAGCCACCAATTGCGCAAGTTCTCCCACTTAAAAAGATGAGAGAGACCTGTAATTTTCATCATAGGTACACGTCAACTATGACAGACAAATTGAGAGAAAAAAAATCCAGAAAATCACATTGTAGGATTTTTAATGAATTTATTTGCAAATTATGGTGGAAAATAAGTATTTGGTCACCTACAAACAAGCAAGATTTCTGGCTCTCACAGACCTGTAACTTCTTCTTTAAGAGGCTCCTCTGTCCTCCACTCGTTACCTGTATTAATGGCACCTGTTTGAACTTGTTATCAGTATAAAAGACACCTGTCCACAATCTCAAACAGTCACACTCCAAACTCCACTATGGCCAAGACCAAAGAGCTGTCAAAGGACACCAGAAACAAAATTGTAGACATGCAACAGGCTGGGAAGACTGAATCTGCAATAGGTAAGCAGCTTGATTTGAAGAAATCAACTGTGGGAGCAATTATTAGGAAATGGAAGACATTCAAGACCACTGATAATCTCCCTCGATCTGAGGCTTCACGCAAGATCTCACCCGTGGGGTCAAAATGATCACAAGAACGGTGAGCAAAAATCTCAGAACCACACGGGGGGACCTAGTGAATGACCTTCAGAGAGCTGGGACCAAAGTAACAAAGCCTACCATCAGTAACACACTACGCCGCCAGGGACTCAAATCCTGCAGTGCCAGACGTGTCCCCCTGCTTAAGCCAGTACATGTCCAGGCCCGTCTGAAGTTTTCTAGAGTGCATTTGGATGATCCAGAAGAGGATTGGGAGAATGTCATATGGTCAGATGAAACCAAAATAGAACTTTTTGGTAAAAACTCAACTCGTCGTGTTTGGAGGACAAAGAATGCTGAGTTGCATCCAAAGAACACCATACCTACTGTGAAGCATGGGGGTGGAAACATCATGTTTTGGGGCTGTTTTTCTGCAAAGGGACCAGGACGACTGATGCGTGTAAAGGAAAGAATGAATGGGGCCATGTATTGTGAGATTTTGAGTGAAAACCTCCTTCCATCAGCAAGGGCATTGAAGATGAAACGTGGCTGGGTCTTTCAGCATGACAATGATCACAAACACACCGCCCGGGCAACGAAGGAGTGGCTTCGTAAGAAGCATTTCAAGGTCCTGGAGTGGCCTAGCCAGTCTCCAGATCTCAACCCCATAGAAAATCTTTGGAGGGAGTTGAAAGTCTGTGTTGCCCAGCGACAGCCCCAAAACATCACTGCTCTAGAGGAGATCTGCATGGAGGAATGGGCCAAAATACCAGCAACAGTGTGTGAAAACCTTGTGAATCAAATCAAATCAAATCAAATTTTATTGGTCACATGCGCCGAATACAACAGGTGCAGACATTACAGTGAAATGCTTACTTACAGCCCTTAACCAACAGTGCATTTATTTTTAACAAAAAAAGTAAAAAAAAACAACAACAAAAAAAGTGTTGAGAAAAAAAAGAGCAGAAGTAAAATAAAATAACAGTAGGGAGGCTATATATATACAGGGGGGTACCGTTGCAGAGTCAATGTGCGGGGGCACCGGCTAGTTGAGGTAGTTGAGGTAATATGTACATGTGGGTAGAGTTAAAGTGACTATGCATAAAAAATTAACAGAGTAGCAGCAGCGTAAAAAGGATGGGGTGGGGGGGCAGTGCAAATAGTCCGGGTAGCCATGATTAGCTGTTCAGGAGTCTTATGGCTTGGGGGTAGAAGCTGTTGAGAAGTCTTTTGGACCTAGACTTGGCACTCCGGTACCGCTTGCCGTGCGGTAGCAGAGAGAACAGTCTATGACTAGGGTGGCTGGAGTCTTTGACAATTTTGAGAGCCTTCCTCTGACACCGCCTGGTATAGAGGTCCTGGATGGCAGGTAGCTTGGCCCCAGTGATGTACTGGGCCGTACGCACTACCCTCTGTAGTGCCTTGCAGTCGGAGGACAAGCAGTTGCCATACCAGGCGGTGATGCAACCAGTCAGGATGCTCTCGATGGTGCAGCTGTAGAATTTTTTGAGGATCTGAGGACCCATGCCAAATCTTTTCAGTCTCCTGAGGGGGAATAGGCTTTGTCGTGCCCTCTTCACGACTGTCTTGGTGTGTTTGGACCATGATAGTTCGTTGGTGATGTGGACACCAAGGAACTTGAAGCTCTCAACCTGTTCCACTACAGCCCCGTCGATGAGAATGGGGGCGTGCTCAGTCCTATTTTTTTTCCCTGTAGTCCACAATCATCTCCTTTGTCTTGGTCACGTTGAGGTAGAGGTTGTTGTCCTGGCACCACACGGCCAGTTCTCTGACCTCCTCCCTGTAGGCTGTCTCATCGTTGTCGGTGATCAGGCCTACCACTGTTGTGTCGTCGGCAAACTTAATGATGGTGTTGGAGTCGTGCCTGGCCATGCAGTCATGGGTGAACAGAGAGTACAGGAGGGGACTGAGCACGCACCCCTGAGGGGCCCCCGTGTTGAGGATCAGTGTGGCAGATGTGTTGTTACCTACCCTTACCACCTGGGGGCGGCCCGTCAGGAAGTCCAGGATCCAGTTGCAGAGGGAGGTGTTTAGTCCCATGATCCTTAGCTTAGTGATGAGCTTAGAGGGCACTATGGTGTTGAATGCTGAGCTGTAGTCAATGAATAGCATTCTCACGTAGGTGTTCCTCTTGTCCAGGTGGGAAAGGGCAGTGTGGAGTGCAATAGAGATTGCATCATCTGTGGATCTGTTGGGGCGGTATGCAAATTGGAGTGTGTCTAGGGTTTCTGGGATAATGCTGTTGATGTAAGCCATGACCAGCCTTTCAAAGCACTTCATGGCTACAGACGTCAGTGCTACGGGTCGGTAGTCATTTAGGCAGGTTATCCTAGAGTCCTTGGGCATGGGGACTATGGTGGTCTGCTTGAAACATGTTGGTATTACAGACTCAGTCAGGGACATGTTGAAAATGTCAGTGAAGACACTTGCCAGTTGGTCAGCAAGTGCTCGGAGTACACGTCCTGGTAATCCGTCTGGCCCTGCGGCCTTGTGAATGTTGACCTGCTTAAAAGTCTTACTCACATCGGCTACGGAGAGCGTGATCACATAGTCATCCGGAACAGCTGGTGCTCTCATGCATGCTTCAGTGTTGCTTGCCTCGAAGCGAGCATAGAAGTGGTTTAGCTTGTCTGGTAGGCTTGTGTCACTGGGCAGCTCGCGGCTGTGCTTCCCTTTGTAGTCTGTAATAGTTTTCAAGCCCTGCCACATCCGACGAGCGTCAGAGCCAGTGTAGTACGATTCAATCTTAGTCCTGTATTGACTCTTTGCCTGTTTGATGGTTCGTCGGAGGGCATAGCGGGATTTCTTATAAGCGTCCGGGTTAGAGTCCCGTTCCTTGAAAGCGGCAGCTCTACCCTTTAGCTCAGTGCGGATGTTTCCTGTAATCCATGGCTTCTGGTTGGGGTATGTACGTACGGTCACTGTGGGGACGACATCATCGATGCACTTATTGATGAAGCCAGTGACTGATGTGGTGTACTCCTCAATGCTGTCTGAAGAATCCCGGAACATGTTCCAGTCTGTGCTAGCAAAACAGTCCTGTAGCTTAGCATCTGCGTCATCTGACCACTTTTTTATTAACCGAGTCACTGGTGCTTCCTGCTTTAGTTTTAGCTTATAAGCAGGAATCAGGAGGATAGAGTTATGGTCAGATTTGCCAAATGGAGGGCGAGGGAGAGCTTTGTAAGCGTCTCTGTGTGTGGAGTAAAGGTGGTCTAGAGTTTTTTTTCCTCTGGTTGCACATTTAACATGCTGGTAGAAATTAGGTAGAACGGATTTCAGTTTCCCTGCATTAAAGTCCCCGGCCACTAGGAGCGCTGCATCTGGATGAGCGTTTTCCTGTTGTTTTATGGCCTTGTACAACTCATTCAGTGCAATCTTAATGCCAGCATTGGTTTGTGGTGGTAAATAGACAGCTATGAAAAATATAGATGAAAACTCTCTTGGTAAATAGTGTGGTCTACAGCTTATCATAAGATACTCTACCTCAGGCGAGCAAAACCTTGAGACTTCCTTAGAATTTGATTTTGTGCACCAGCTGTTGTTTACAAATATACACAGACCGCAACCCCTTGTCTTACCGGAGTCAGCCGTTCTATCCTGCCGATGTAGCGTATAGCCCGCTAGCTGTATGTTATCCATGTCGTCGTTCAGCCACGACTCGGTGAAACATAAGATATTACAGTTTTTAATGTCCCGTTGGTAGGATAACCGTAATCTTAGGTCATCCAATTTATTTTCAAATGATTGAACGTTGGCTAATAGGATTGATGGAAGAGGCAGTTTACTCGCTCGCCGTCGGATCCTTACAAGGCACCCCGATCTACGTCCACGATATCTCCGTCTCTTCCTCACGCGAATGACGGGGATTTGGGCCTTGTCGGGTGTCTGTATGATATCCTTCGCGGCCGCCTCGTTGAAGAAAAAATCTTCGTCCAATACGAGGTGAGTAATCGCTGTCCTGATATCCAGAAGCTCTTTTTGGTTATAAGAGACGATGGCAGAAACATTATGTACAAAATAAATTACAAATAACGCGGAAAAACACACATAATAGTACAATTGGTTAGAGGGCTGTAAAACGGCAGCCATCTTCTCCGGCGCTGTTATGAGGATTTGACTTACAGAAAACGTTTGACCTGTGTCATTTCCAACAAAGGGTATATAACAAAGTATTGAGA